CCGAAATGAGAATGTTAAAAAGGAAACCGAAATAATGAAAAATGTCCTGCCGAAACCAAAACTGAAAAAAAAAATTTTTACACACAAGGGAAAAAAAAATTCTAACTTTTTCAGATTTAAAAAAAATGTATTTTTATTTTTAAATATTTTAATTTTTTACTTTTCAAGTGCTTCGGGGAAATATTAGGGGTCTAAACCGACCCCTGATATTTCCCTTTTAAAATAGAAAAAAAAATTGAGAACACAAGGCCCTCAATCTCTCTTTCTGGATCTCCTGTTATAAATTAACAAGAAGCTTCTATACTGAGCATATCTGTAAAAAATAAGTCAAGGCAACTGGACTTGCTGTATTTTTCTTGAACACAGTTTACTGGACATCCGACCAGCTTTCTCAATTCAGAATGACTTGTACAAAAATTATCTGGGAATAAATATGGTGAATATTGCTCCAATCCACATAATCTGTTAGTCGCAACCAGGTGTTAATTGCATTTGCATACTTGGAGCTAGGAGGTGTTATTAACCTGCCCGGAGAGAGGTGTTAAAACAGCCCAGAGAGAGGTGTTAAAACCTCTATTCAAGCTTGGCTTCTCCATTTTTACATAAATGGCCTCTTTCACACCTCTTTTAAACCAGTCCTCCTCCCTGTCTAGGATGCGTACTTGACTCTCTTCAAAGGAATTTCTTTTTTCCTTTTTTTAGATGTAGGTATACTGTTAAATCCTGACTTCTATGCTGTGCCTTCGTACACCATCGTATCCTGTCCATTAATAACTTGAGATCGTATGTTTACTTTATCCACAATCATGAATGAACAGGAGGTGATGTAGATCACTTCAAATTCATTCATAATTGAGGATATAGCAGGGGTGTGGACATTTTTGAAAAAACTACTTGTCCGAGGGCTAAAGCGGGGGTCAAATCTACTTGTCCTTTGTGACAATCTACTTGTCCCAATACAAAAAAAAATAGCTTTAAAAGTTTAAAACTAGGGATGCACCAAATTTATAATCTTTTAAAAAATGTTTTCATTTTTTATTATTTTTTAATTTCATTCCTATCACATAGGGCCGGGGCGCCCACAATTTTTCGTCTGGAGATCTACTTTTCAAATGATGAGCTCAATGAGATCTACCAACGAAAACACACGCATTCAGGGGCAGGGGGAGGGGGGGCGTGGTGGTGCATTGAAGTCAATGGCACCGCAGCCAGGCCCCTTGCCCACAGTGGGACCACCTGCACCCCGAACCCAGGCATTAGTGCCTGTGTTTCAGTCCAGTGCGATCCGCAAAAATGCTGCAAGCACTATGTTTGCAGATCGCACTGGACTGATGCCTGCAGATCGCACTGTGAGCGGGGGGCATGGCTGCGGTGCCATTGACTCCAGCATGGTTAGCTGCTGGGATACACTGTACCGCATAGTAAACTCCCTCCTGCGTTCTTAAGTCAATGGCACACCAGCCATGCCCCCCTTCCCAGCCGCAGTGCGTTCGCGTGCACCAGAACGCGGCACAAAAATCCCTGCGTTCTGGTCCAGTGCGATTGGCAAAAAATGCTGCATGCACTATTTTTTCTGATCGCACTGGACCGAAATGTAGGCATTGTGGTTTCCGCGTTCTGGTGACTTCAATTCACCGCCACGGCCCCTCCCTGCTGAGAACGCAAGGGGGGTGGTTTACCATGCGATACAGTGTGTTCCAGCTAACTGTGCTGGATTGTACTATACTGTAACTTGTGTGAACAAACCCTAAACACATTCCTAAAACATTGCATTCTTTGATTCAGGCATTATCTGCGTT